ACCCGAAGCGAGTGAAGGTGGTGGAGGTGGGACCCCGCGATGGGCTCCAGAACGAGAAGGTAACGGCGGCTCCCGGCTCCTCCCGGGGGTTTTACAGCCCAATCCCCCAAACGCCCCCCTGTGCCTCCCAATGGGCAGTATTTTTCTTTAAATACTGCTTTTTTTATGTTGAAAATTCGCTGCTTTTTTATTTCAGCAGTGGAAGAGTTTATTGTGTGAATAATAATAACTTTAAGTAATTTTTCTTTTCTTGTTCTTTTTAGAATCTTGTGCCCACCCCAGTGAAGATCAATTTAATCAACATGCTGTCAGAGACAGGGCTGCAGGTCATAGAGGCCACCAGCTTCGTGTCCCCCAAGTGGGTCCCTCAGGTCAGTGTTCACTCTGAAAGTGCAGCAATCCAGTGGTTCTGCTGGCTCCCAACTCCTGTTACTGGGCAGGAGGAGTTAAAACATCCCAGAGCTTCCCTTTGGACCCTGGACAGGGCAGAGGGACACACAGCTCACACACAAACTCTGTTTGTGCCTGGCTGGGTGACCCCTGACCCCTCACAGGCTGCAGCTCTGTTTGCTTTCAGAGGCTCTGATCCCTGTTCCCTTTACAAAAAGGAGTTTTAGTGATGATTTTCTGGCAGAAGTGCAGAACCCTCACAGACATTTCTTTGCTTTGCAGATGGCTGATCACACCGAGGTGCTGCAGGGCATCAGGAAATCGCCTGGGATCAGTTACCCCGTGCTCACCCCAAACCTCAGGGGCTTCCAGGCAGCGGTGAGGGCTGGGGGCACCCCAATATCCCCCTGGGCTCTGCACTGCCCCTGCTCCTCTGCCCCTCTGCCTTCACCCTTTCCCAGCTCAGCTGTGTCCTGGTGCTTTTGCTGCAGAGTGAGCTGAGGGAAGGATTGGGATGTTTGGGGAAAATGCTTTTGTGAAATGAGAGAGAGCTGCAGTCAGGGATTGCAGATCACAGAGACACTGAGGAGGAGAAGAGCCCCAAGATGTTCAGCTCTAAATAAGCAAAGCAGATTTATTTGGGAACAGAGGAGCCTCTGTAAAGGGAGGTGTTTATGGGCTGGTTTGAGACATCCCTACCAAGAGATGCCTCTGAAACCCTTGGATTAACTCTTGGCCATGGAATCATGAAGTTGTGGCTCTGTTTGTCATTTCCCTCACAAGAACAATCCCCTGGCTTTGATTTAATCAGTGCTGATCTCAGGGCTCTTTCCAGCCTCAGTGGTGCTGTGGTTCCAGTTTGGGATTTTCTGTTTGCAGGTGGCAGCAGGGGCCAAAGAGGTGTCGATCTTTGGGGCAGCATCCGAGCTCTTCACCCAGAAAAACATCAACTGCTCCATCGAGGAGAGCCTGGAGAGGTTTGAGGAGGTGATGAGGGCAGCCAAGGAAGCCAGCATTCCTGTCAGGGGGTAAGGCCTTCCTGCTGGAGCTCACCCACATTCACTTGGGGTCAGATTTTCTTGGCCAACATCCCACATGGAAGTGCACAGATCACATCCCCCATCAGCCCTCTGGGCTCATCTTGGCAAATTTTACACCCATGGAAGAAAAAACTGGTGAAATCCTGTAACATTTGGCCACTGAACTTTTGGAATATAAAATTGATTCTCCCATCTTGCAGACATGGAAGGTGCACAAGTCCTGACTGGTTTGTCAGTGGAATCCCATTGCCCTTTTCCAGCTAAAAGTTTGTTTGTTATTTTTTAACCACAGATACGTTTCCTGTGTGCTTGGATGTCCCTACGAAGGGAAGATTTCTGCAGCTAAAGTTGCAGAGGTGAGTCACTCATGTGAGTCACTCATAAGAGTCCCACAGCCAGGACTCCTGAGAGGGCTCTGGTTGATTTTGATGGATGTGAGATGGGCACTGGGGATATCCAGGATAAAAGGGCAATATTTAAGGGAATATCCAGGTCCTTAGAGGCTGAAATGGGGAACTGAGGGGGGTTTGGGTTTTTAATCTCAGAGAGGAGTGGCCAGGGGATGATGGTGCAGCAGGGATCAGCTCTGGCAGGGAAGGAGGAGTGTCCAGGGGATTGTACAGCAGGAATGAGCTCTGGGAGGGGAGGAGGGGTGTCCAGGGGATTGTACAGCAGGAATGAGCTCTGGGAGGGAAGGAGGGGTGTGTAGGAGATGGTGGTGCAGCAGGAATGTGCTCTGACAGGGAAGGAGGAGTGTCCAGGGAATTATTGTACAGCAGGAATGAGCTCTGGCAGGGAAGGTGGAGTGTCCAGGGAATTATTGTACAGCAGGAATGAGCTGTGGGAGGGGAGGAGGGGTGTCTAGTGGATTGTGGTGCAGCAGGAATGAGCTCTGGGGAGGCAGGATGCCCTCTGATGCCCTGCTGGCCCTGCCCAGGTCTCCAAGAAGATGTACTCCATGGGGTGCTACGAGATCTCCCTGGGGGACACCATCGGCGTGGGCACCCCGGGCTCCATGAGGGAGATGCTGGCAGCGGTGATGAAGGAGGTGCCCGTGGGGGCTCTGGCTGTTCACTGCCATGACACCTATGGCCAGGCCCTGGCCAACATCCTGGTGGCCCTGCAGGTAGGATCCCTGCTCTGCACCACAAATTCCTGCCAGGGAATTCCTTAAAGGACCTTAGAGCCCATCTTGTCCCACCCCCTGCCCATCTGCCACTGTCCCAGGCTGCTCCAAGCCCACCCAGCCTGGCCTGGGGCACTGCCAGGGACGGGGCAGCCCCACAAATGGAGCAGCTGCCCTTGGGGAGTTTGGGCTTGCTGGGAATTGCAGATTTGTGCTGCCAGAGCAGCCCCAACCCGGGCTCTGTTTGCAGATGGGGGTGAGCGTGGTGGACGCATCCGTGGCCGGCCTTGGGGGGTGTCCCTATGCCCAGGGAGCCTCTGGGAACGTGGCCACAGAGGACCTGGTGTACATGCTCAACGGGCTGGGCATCCACACGGTGAGTGCCACCTCAGGCTCTGCTCAGGGCACAGCACAGGGCAGGAGCCTGGGCATGGTGGGGACAGGACAGGGGGAGTGTGAGATGGGATAGCAGGGAAAACATCCCTGGGAGGGAGGGCAGGCCTGGCACAGGTGCCCAGAGCAGGTGTGGCTGCCCCTGGAGTGCCCAGGGCCAGGCTGGACGGGGTATGAGCCAGCCTGGGGTGGTGGGAGATGTCCCTCAAGGCGTGTCCTGGACCTTTGCCATGCAGGGGGTGGATCTGCAGAAGCTGATGGACACAGGCACCTTCATCTGCAATGCCCTGAACAGAAAAACCAACTCCAAGGTGTCTCAGGCCTCCTGCAGACTGTGACACTGAGTGGGCATTCTCCTTGGATCAAGAACCTGAGGATCCAGCCCTGGCTGGGCTTCCTGTCTGACCTCCTGAGTTCCTTCCTGCCTCAGCATTTGAGAGGAAGCTCAAAATCCACCAGAATTAGGAAGAAGTGAGAAAATCTCCTGTTAGATTGTGCTCTGTTGGACCTTGAGGCTGTCCCCATGTGCCTTGGAGACGGGAGGACGTGGAGGGGCACAGGAGAGCCCTGAGCACAGACTTTGCAGTTGGAGCTCAGCTCCAGCTCAGGCTGCCCCTTCTCCCCTCTCTCCCCTCAGCCTTCAGGGCTGTGTGTGCTGCTGCTCTGTGTATCTGTTGTAAGATACCCTCACACACCAGGAGTAATAAACACATTATTTAATAATCTGAACTGTGAAAATTTGATTGAGCTGAACCAACAAAGGAGCTTTGGCTGCTGGTTTGGCTCCAGGTGCCTCTTGGATGTGGAAATTGCACCATTGTGGGCTGGGGGTGAGGAATTCCTTCCACCCTGAGAGCAGAGAGTGAAACTCCTCAGTGCTCAGGACCTTGGGAACCACCCTCAGCTCTTTTTAAAGTAATTTATGGAGCAGTTTATTTGTGAGACTGGAGAGAAGCACAGGAACTTTGTCCTTTGAGGGCCAGGACAGGTGTGAGGCTGCGTGTGCCTCCTCTCCACATGACTGCAATAAACTGTAACAGTTACCAAACCCTTGGTAATGAACGCTGTAGAAATGGGGCGGAATGGGGCAATAATTCGGGGTTTTGGGGCAATAATTNGGGGTCCCTGAGGGAATAGGGGGTCCCTGAACAGTGCTGGGCATCCCTGAGGGGTGCTGAGGAGATGAAAGCTCTTGCTCTTTCCTAAATACTTCCCGTTCATTCTTTCCCAGCATTAAAATCCCCTAAAAGCCTCTCTTATTCTAGTATTTGCTTCTAAATCCAAAGGACAGTGACAGAGTGCTCCTCACTCTATGGTTATCCAGTGCCTTGCTGTTTTACTGACTGGGATTGCAGTGGGGTTGGGAAATATCTCATTTGCTCCTTTGCCATCCCAACAATTCCTTTTCTCCTTTCAGATACGTGGTCCTGACCACCAAGCACCACGAGGGCTTCACCAACTGGGGGTCACCAGTGTCCTGGAACTGGAATTCTGTGGATACAGGGCCCCACCGGGACCTGGTGGGAGAGCTGGGAGAGGCCCTCAGGGAGAGGTGAGGCCCTGGCAGGGAGCTCTGCTCTGAGAGCAGTGAATGCTCCTGGCTCTGCTTGACAAACAGCAGAAAACCCTGTGAAAAATGGAGTGCTTGCAAATGATGAAAAATAATAAAGCCAGTAATTTAATTTCCACTTATTTCTAATCCCCACTGAAGCCTAACTCTCCCCTCTGTGTTTTGTCCTTCAGCAACCTCCGTTATGGGCTGTATCACTCCCTGATGGAGTGGTTTAACCCTCTCTACCTCGCTGACAAACAAAATGACTTCAAGACCCAGAGCTTTGTTTTAAAGAAGACGATGCCAGAACTTTATGATCTTGTCTTAAAGTAAGAGCCACAACCAGCTCAGAGTCACCAGCATTTCCTGGTTTCAGTTCTGTAGAGAAAGGTGCAAAGTGGGTGCAAAGAAGAGAAATGTTGATTTTTGATGAGGCAAATTCTCTTTGCTAAGCAGTAATGATTTGTGGTAATTAGAAAAGTGGTTCAGTTTTAACCTGTGGAAAGTCGAATCTGTAGAATAAGGCAGGGACAACTTTTCCTGCAAAAGCAATTCCCTTTAATCCTGTCTTTGTGCAGGGTGGCTGGAAGTGGAACAAACTGTTCAGTGTTTAGTAGAATAGAAAAGTGATTTCACTGGAATTTTCATCCTTGTCTTGCTTCCCCTTGCTGACAAAACTGAAAGGCTTGGGTTTGTGGGTCATTGTGCCAACTCAAGAATGTGCACTTTGATGTGCCAGATTCTGGGTGCTTTGGAAGAACTGCACCCTCTCTTGAGCTGTGGATCAACACCTGGTTCTTTGCTGCTGCAAGAACCTCCCTTAGAGCTTTGTGGGAAGCAGAAAATGAAGCAGAACCCTCCTGGTGATGGCAGGCAGTGGGAAGGGAAAGAAACAGAGCGTGGCAGGAGCAGATGAGCCTTTATGAAACAACTTCTGTCTCTCTTAGATACAAACCAGACCTGATCTGGTCGGATGGGGACTGGGAAGCTCCAGATTCCTACTGGAATTCCACCTCTTTCCTTGCCTGGCTCTACAACGACAGCCCTGTCAAGGTACCAGGGCCTGCTGCCCCTCCTGGCTCTGGGTGGGTGTGGGAGGGCAGGAGGCTGTGGGGTGTGGGATCAAACCAGAAACCTCCTGCACATTTGATGTGTTTTATTCTCTGACAAAAAGAGAACCTTGGCTGTGCTGCTGGGACAGCTTCAACCTTTGATGGACACTCAGCTTTGCTGCCTCAGCTCCTGCCTGAGCAGAGGGAGGGATTCAGCCTTCTCAGGAGGGTTTCCATTACACTGGGAGTTTGTGGTGCTTCCTCAGGGGGTGGCTGCCAGCTGGACAGCCCAAGAACAAAAGGATCTGTGCCCTGAGCTGTTTTCCTTCTCTCAGGACACCGTGGTTGTCAATGACCGCTGGGGTCGGGGCTGCTCCTGCCGCCACGGGGGTTTCTACAACTGTGCTGACAAGTTCAGGCCGGGCACGCTGCCCGAGCACAAGTGGGAGATGTGCTCCTCCCTGGACAGCCTCTCCTGGGGCTACCGCAGCAACATGAGCCTGCCCGAGGTGATGGATGAAACGAGCATGATCCAGGTGAGAAACCTGACCTGAGCAGCCTGGGGGGATTGCTGGGAGGGAGGGGCTTCTGGGTAAAACTGCTGCGTTTCTGTGTTTCTGTGTGTCTGAGGTGAAGATAATGTTATCTTGCTTTATCTGCCGCAGGAGCTGGTGCAGACTGTGAGTTTGGGTGGCAACTACCTCCTCAATGTGGGGCCTACAAAAGAAGGGGTGATTGTCCCCATCTTCCAAGAGAGACTCCTGGCCCTTGGGAGGTGGCTGGGCACCAATGGGGAGGCGATTTATGAGTCCCAGCCTTGGAGGGTGCAGATGGAGAACACCACAGACACTGTCTGGTGAGGGCCCTGCTGCTCAGACCAGCTGAGCTGATTTTATTTCTTACCTTTTCCTAAATTTGGAGTTGGGGGCAGTGCGTGACCCCTGTGTGGTGACAGTGGGCAGAATTGTGTTCTTGTTCTGTCTGGAAAGGTGAGGTTTGTGCCCTTCCCCTGCTGAAGTCCTGCTCTCCCAGGTACACCTCCAAGGGACCCGTGGTCTTTGCCATCTTCCTGCTCTGGCCTCGGGACAATGTCCTGCACCTGTCCTCACCCATTGCATCCCCAGGCACACAGGTAAGGGCTGAGCACACACTGAGAGCATCTGGGGGTGGGAAGGGCCAGCCTGGATTTGTTCAGGAGCTGGGGGACTGGGGAGGTGTGATGGTGTTCACAGGAGTCTGAGGATGAGGGAAAAGAATCTTGACTCCGTGTTTGAGAAGGTTTGATTTATTATTTTATTATATATATTATACTAAAACTATACTAAAAGAATAGAAGAAAGGATTCCATCAGAAGGCTGGCTAAGAATAGAAAAAGAAGGAATGATAACAAAGGTTTGTGGCTGACTGAGACAGTCCAGACAGCTGGGCTGTGATTGGCCATTAATTAGAAACAACCACATGAGACCAATCCCAGATGCACCTGTTGCATTCCACAGCAGCAGATAATCAATGTTTACATTTTGTTCCTGAGGCCTCTCAGATTCTCAGGAGAAAAAGATCCTAAGGAAAGGATTTTTCAGAAAATCTCGTGGCTACAGGGAGGATATTTGCTGTGGGCTCCTTGCAGCACCCAGGCTTTGGCTCACATGGAACGTGGCACAGGAGCTGCCAGGGAAGATTCCAGCCCTGGGGTGTGTTGATCCTGTTGTTGCAGGGAGGGCAGCAGGAGTGGCTGTCCTGCAGCCCAGGTGCAGTGCCCTGCTGGTGGCACATGTCACCGTGACGCACACGTGGCAGTGGCCTTTGCTCTGAACAAACAGCGGCAAAGCATCAGCAACAAACAAACCCCAAACAACAAACTGCAGCCTGCTGTGGCCTCCAAACACCCTG